ATTTAAAGAAAATACAAAAACCACCTAGGACACACCAGTATCTGAAGAATGAGAGAAAACAACCTGGAAACCACATGCCATTAGACCTGTGGCCCTGCATTCTCGCAAGGCACGTGGTAAGAGACCACGTTAGATTCCTGTTCCGGGTGGGGAGAAGCCCCACCTCGCTCTTCCTCGTGCGGCTTACTCACCCTCCACAGCAGCTGCCATAAGGAAGGCCTAGGGCCCCTTAGCCCTAAGTCCGTTCTGGATAAAAGCTTTGACCATGTCCTCGTGTTCAGAGCTGGGCCACCAGAGCCGAATGCCTGGCGCTCTGATCTATCGCGAAGATAAATACAGTCGATAAAAGGGTAGCTACACTGACTAAGAGAAAAAAGAAGGGCACGAATGAAAATGTCAGGCATGAAAGAGAGGACCCCACCACAGGGCCTCCAGGAATTAGAAGAATTATAAGGGAGCTCTGCGAAAACTTGACAAACTTGACTAATTCCCTGGGGCTGATTCCAGCTCCTTACCTGCTTTTTATACTTTTATCAGAACAAGCCACACACATTGGCTCTGGCTGCTTTTGCAGTGAGACAACAGGGCTGAGTAGCTGCCGCTGAGGCCATGTGGCCCACAAAGCTGAAAATATTTACTCTCTGACCCCTTCAGAGAAAAGTTTACTCACGGTCAGATTAGATAAATAGACAAATTCCTTGAAGCACACAAATACTGGAACTGATTCCAGAAGAAATAGAAAATCTGAACAGACCTGTATCTACTAAAGGTACCGATTCTGTACTTAACATTCTCACAAAGAATTCCAGGCCCCAGTGGCTTTTCTGGTGAATTCTATCACACGGCTAAGGAAGCACTAATACCAACCCCACACAAACTCTTTCTGAAGAGCGAGGCGGAGGGAACACTTCCCAATTCATTCTGTGAGGACAGTGTTATCCTGACACCAGAATCAGAGAAAGGCATTACAAGAAAAGAAAAACTATGGAGATTTTTAAAATAAAACCCAGCCCCTGAAGCTGGCATGAAGGTGACTCACTGCATTCTGATGGGCAGTTAAACAAAATACAAAAACCACCTAGGACACACCAGTATCTGAAGAATGAGAGAAAACAACCTGGAAACCACATGCCATTAGACCTGTGGCCCTGCATTCTCGCAAGGCACGTGGTAAGAGACCACGTTAGATTCCTGTTCCGGGTGGGGAGAAGCCCCACCTCGCTCTTCCTCGTGCGGCTTACTCACCCTCCACAGCAGCTGCCATAAGGAAGGCCTAGGGCCCCTTAGCCCTAAGTCCGTTCTGGATAAAAGCTTTGACCATGTCCTCGTGTTCAGAGCTGGGCCACCAGAGCCGAATGCCTGGCGCTCTGATCTATCGCGAAGATAAATACAGTCGATAAAAGGGTAGCTACACTGACTAAGAGAAAAAAGAAGGCACGAATGATAAATGTCAGGCATGAAAGAGAGGACCCCACCACAGGGCCTCCAGGAATTAGAAGAATTATAAGGGAGCTCTGCGAAAACTTGACAAACTTGACTAATTCCCTGGGGCTGATTCCAGCTCCTTACCTGCTTTTTATACTTTTATCAGAACAAGC